AAATACGACCTAATCTTCTGTATATCCACATCTCCAAAGAATTGATACGATTTTCCAGTTGTTTGTTCATTGTCCATGTCTCTGTGCCATACAGTAAGGTTGAGAATACATAACATTTGACAATTCTCATTTTTAAACGCTATAATTAAATTCACTTAAAAACAAAGAATGATATGGTTTGGCGCTTTGCTGAGAATAAATCCAATGATGCTAGCAACGAGAGCGCACACCATAAAAGTAGAAACATCATGAACGACCTAGAAGAATATGGATTGAAGGAGTCACTGATATTTTCCGATTCCACAGCATACAAAGAAACCGAGCGTGTCACGACTCGCAGACAATCAAATGTATACATGTGACACCTATCGGCACAAAGCAGAAAATGGACAATAGATAGAATAACGCTTACTCTATATGTTTATTTCCATAATAATATGTGTTTATTCCTTCAAGACTTAACCACAAGTCGTTTTCACACAAGTTATATAAACTGGCCACAGCTGGGCATTCACAGACCCGCACACTCCAGAAATGAGCTCGTGGGATCCACATATTGTTTGAGTCCGAGTCGGTTTGTCGCATTCCGGAAGAAACACTGTAGGATAAATCATAGATTTTCGTGTTGTAGCTCATATAGTATATACACATAAATACAGACATATATATATATATATATATATATTACAACTACAAGATACATCACTGGTAGTACTGAGCACCTAATAAACCAGTTACACACAAGCAGAAACATCAATATACAGTTAGTTAATACGATATGAAACATACTAAGAAGCGATACAAATCCCCCATAAAGAATGCAAGGTGCATGATATTAATATCTTAACTACCGGAAAGATGGGTAAAACAAGAACAAAATCGATTGTCATAAATAGGGAGCCGCAGGGATGTTGCCGCTAGAGGGCTATTTAACTAAGTTCTACTCAGGCGCCAACATTTTGAAAATGGCGATCGTCACAGACAAGAGAACCGAGCCCAGCATTTTGTTTTATATCCAGAAACCATGAGTTTTTGGCCCTGTACTATGGATATCAGAACCCTTCGGCCTTGTTTCCGTGAATTATACCGTAAATGTAGGAGAAATGTGGCTTTTCTGCCAACCCCCGGGCGTGAACCCTGACCACAAGGAGTTCGTCACCTGGTCGTCGTGAAGTCAGGTTTAACTCATACACTAGCCGGGCGTCCCAGCATACAAAAATCATTAATACAACGGACAATGATCCGCGGGCCGCTTTCTAAAATTCCGCGAGTCAAATTTGGCCCACGGGCCGCCAGTTAAATAACTCTAGACTAAACGCTCACCTTAAAGGTCCGTTCAAATCCGAACAGAAGCGAACTTTTTTTTTCCGAGAAAAACTCTGGCTAACATGTCATCTCAGCCTTAAACAGGTGCCCGGTAAAAGATATGGGATGTAAAAGTGGCCGGCGTGATAATGATCACACCCCCCCCCCCCCGCCCGAGTGCCGATTGGTCTATTAACCACTAAAACATTAAGATACAAAAGCAGTAAACAATAGTTTTAAGTAAACAAAATAAAAATGTCTGCAGTAAATCAAATAACAGATTTTCAGAGTGGCGTCCTCTTTTTAAACAAGTACTCCCGCCTTTTCCCCATTTCAATTAGAGCCGTAAATATAGATGATGACAACGCCTGGACGAGTGCTGCTCGTTATTGTTATCTCAATTTGCTTCCAGGATACGTCATCGCCTGGACGATCCTGTATTTGTTGTTGGTTTGCTGGCAACAGGTAAAATTCCATAAATGGACGGAAGTCTACGCTACTGATTTAAGTGCTTGGTGCAGCACCATGAGCTGTTTTTTTTTTCATGTGAAATGTTTTTTTGTGTGTGACTGAGTCGTGGAATTCAATATGGCCGTTAGCCGACTTACGCGTGGGCTGGTGAAATACCTTTTGTAATTATTTTACGCGTGTATATCCCACTTCCAGGAGCAGGTGAAAAGTATTCAGATCAGTACAGAATTATTTACTCGGGTGGGAAGGAATATAGTAAGGGAGTTGGTATATTTTGGATCAAAAGAACTCAAAAACTGTGAAAGGATTTTTGACAATATCAGATAGAGTACTATTAGTAAAACTTCACGGCGGACCGTTTGACATCAACTTAGTACAGATTTATGCCCCAACAGCAGATAGTTCAGAGGAAGATATTGACGCATTTTATGACGAGTTAGACATGGCTGTTGATCAATGCAAAAATTGTGAAGTAACAATGGTACTTGGAGATTTCAACGCGAAAGTAGGAAGTGAAAAAGTGTACGGAATAACGGGTGGCTATGGCCTAGGTGAAAAGAATGTGAGAGGTGACAGATTAATAGCATGGGCTGAGTCGCGCAGCATGATAATAGGTAACACTTGGTTTAAACACCATCCTCGAAGATTGTGGACTTAAAAAAGTCCCGGTGACAATGTCCGCAATCAGACTGATTATATTTTGATTTCAATAAGATTCAGGAGCAGCTTAGTTGGAGCAAAAACTAGACCTGGAGCAGACTGCTTTAGTGACCATGTTCCAGTTGTAGGAAAAATTAGAATAAAACTAAAGAACATTAGAAAAACACCACATAACATCAAGTTACACCACATAACATCAAGTTAAATTTAGGAATTCTTAGAACGGATAAAGAAATTAAGGACCAGTACAATGTCACTGTACAAAACCGGTATAATGCAATGGAAATTATACAGACTATTGATGAACAGTGGGATATGTTGCGTGAGTCAATTCAACAGACATCTAAGGAGACAATCCCACTAACCCATAGAGTTGCAAAAAAGAAATGGATGTCAACCGAAATTCTGCAGTTGATGGATAAAAGAAGGAAGGAAAAGAATGATAAAGAAGAATACTCTAGAATGCAAAAAGAAATAGTGAACAAATGCAAAGTGGCTAAAGAAGCCTGGCTGAATCAAATGTGTACATAGATTGGGGGAAAACAACAGGAAAGACTCACATTCCATGTACCAAAAGATAAATATGTTAACAGGAAAGTTGACGCGTAACAGCACATCATGTTTGAAATCAAAATATGGTGACTTATTAATGGGACATAGTAATATAACTAACAGATGGACAGAGTATATAGGGGAATTGTATGATGATAATAGACCAGATGTAGAACTGCAGACCAACAATGATGGTCCACCAATAATGACTGCAGAAGTTGAGGATGCAATACATCATATGAAGAAAGGAAAAGCACCCGGGCCAGACAACATCTCACTGGAAGAAATCGAAGCCCTGGGAGATTTTGGAATTGAAATAATAACTAAACTTTTAAATTATATTCATAATAGTGGGTATATTCCAAATGACCTTTTAAAATCCATATTTACAGCTCTGCCTAAGAAACCAGGCACTATAAAATGTGAAGACCATCGCACAATAAGTCTTATTAGTCACATGACTAAGATTTTACTGAGAATAATTATGAGAAGAATAAGAAACAAAATTAAACTAGAAATCAGCGATGAACAATGTGGGTTTGTGGAAGGAAAAGGTACAAACAATGCCATATACATCCTAAGGACATTGTCAGAAAGAGCTATAGAAGTAAAGACTGATTTGTACATATGCTTCATAGACTTTACAAAAGCATTTGACTGTGTGAAGCATGAAGAAGTAATCAAACTGTTAAAAAAATTAAACATTGATGGGAAAGATTTACGAATAATAAAGAATATGTATTGGCAGCAAACAGCAGCTATAAAAATTAACAACTGTTTAGGTACATTTCAAAGCATAAAGAGGGGCGCACGACAAGGATGTGTACTGTCACCTGATTTGTTTTCAATATACAGTGAATATATAATGAGAGATTTAATTGGTATGCCCGGAATTGTGGTTGGTGGGCACAATATAAACAATTTACGTTATGCTGATGACACAGTCTTGTTAGCAACAAGTCAGAAAGAACTGCAGGAAATGATAGACATTGTGGTGTTAGAAAGTGGAAGAATGGGCCTCAGTTTGAATAATGGGAAGACAGAAGTAATGGTGGTATCAAAGAAACGATTTTTTCCTAAGTGTGTAATAAAAGTTGATGGTGTTATTTTAGGACAAGTACATAAATTTAAGTATCTGGGCACATGGATAACATCAGATGGAAGATGCATAACTGAGATAAGAAATAGAATAGGACAGGCAAAAACTGCATTTTATAAAATGAAAAACATCTTGTGCAATATATCCTTGTCATTGAGAGTTAGAAAAAGACTTCTTGCTTGCTACATACATCCAGTTTTGACATATAGCTGTGAATCCAGGACAATCGGTAGGCAGGCCAAACGATTTCTGGAGGCCTCGGAGATGTGGTTTTACAGAAGAATGCTTAGAATACCTTGGACAGCCAAAAAGAGCAACCAAGAGGTTTTGAAAGAGGCGGGAGCCCGAAGACAACTTATCACAGACATCAGAAGGAGACAGACATAATTTTTCGGCCATGTTATGAGAAGAGGGAAAATAGAACATGTTGTGACCACTGGAAAGATATGTGGAAGGAGAGATAGAGGAAGACATCGAGAGAAGATGCTTGACAGTCTTGTTGCATGGCATGGAGGTGTGTCGGCACACGAACTGATACATGATGCAGGAGATCGCAGATTATGGAGAGGCATGATCGCCCACGCCAGTCGGCAAGGCACCTGATGATGATGATGATATCCCACTTATCATGACCGACTATTTCCATCAACGACAAAATGCACTTCTGGTAGCGACTGTTGGCTTTTATGCCTCTACCTTATGCATTTGCTGCTTCCGCATATGTCTGAATTGTACCGGAACTAACTGTTCACCAGCTTTTCAAATGCAACAGTGAGGGAGGGACATTATATATATTTTTTTTTTAACTGGCACAGAAACGGAGCAAGTATGACGTGACCCGAATGCAGTAAAATTTGAAACTCTACCAAAACAAAGTAAAAGTTATGCTGGGAGCACTTACTGACTTACTTACCTACACTGGTGTTCCGGGATTCAGGATGGTTCTACTTTCTATACACTGGACAAAATCATTTCCAGCAAGTATATGAGCTATACAGATCTCTGGCATGAACTGGCACAGTTCAAGAAAATCCGATGTCTCGATCACTTCATTATCCGGGTAGATGATGGAGATGGGGCGCACCACTACCAACAGTAAGGCGCTGACAAGTCCAAACGGTATTGCCACAAACACCAACATGCATAACCAAAGGATGGTATTGACGGCGATGTAAACTCGCGGGTGGTCGTCCTTGTCCATTCTGGAAGCAGTGGACGACATGCTAAAGGAACACAAATTTGTCTACATGACAACAATGAGTGGAGATGATTTCTGTTTTAGTTACGTGACTGTTTCTAAAGGCGACACTGATTGGCGTGGGGCATGATGGATGCCGCCATGTTTAATTTCACAGTGCGGTATTCATAAAACACGCTAGCATTTCCGTATGCACAAAACAGCGACAGTGCAAGATATCGGATCAGATTTTCCCGTGTGAGTTACTGGGCCCTTATGTGTGTGGTGGTGGTGGTGGTGGGGGGGGGGGGAGTACACAAAAGGCTTTCGCAGCACGCATGTACATTGGCAACCAGGTTGCCCATTGGCTGGCCGGTAGACGACTTCGTCGCCGGTCGGGACAGTATTTTGGTCTGTCTTCTTTGGTTTCATCAACACTGCAAGTGTTTTTTTTTTTTCAGAGCTACTTGGTGGCGGGGAATGCAAAGCATTTTATATGGCGCATTTCGCCTAATCACAATTATAGCCAAACGCTTTCCCTTTAGGAATGTGACGATGTTTCCCCCACGGCAAGGAAAAAAACTTGCATGTCGTAAGAACTGAGTAGTTAGTGATCTGCTTCAAAGTCGGAGTGCATTTGTTTGAGAGACCAGGGACTAAAAGTCTGCACACACATAAGCCAGATCTGTATAATAGATGTGCATACAAAACTAAAGTCGAGAAGTGGACGAACAACCGCAGCTTTCCGCTGGAGCCGGTGAAGGCGAAGAAGAAGAAGAAGATAAGTGTTACTTTCCAAACAAGTCTGATATTCTGTTTATGTTATCCGTCTGTAATACTATTCAAAGTGATTTGGGTTATTATTAATCAACTTTGCGATATTATTTCTCTGTATATACATTTTATAGGATGCACCTTTCCTACTTTCCAGAAGATAATCTTATATTGTGCTATGTAAAGGCATTGGAGTCACAACCCATGGCGATGGCGAGTGTGACTAGCAATACCTGTCTGTAGCACTGCTCGCCACCAAATAGCCCTGAAAAGGTCTTCCACAATTAACGCCTGGGATTGTGCTGCCATCGCATCTATTTAGCGTGCTTATTCTCAAACGCTCAGCTTTCAACTAACCTGCAATCACTGTTTTCCTCTATTTCGATTCGCTGATTCCCCCCTTCCCCAGCAACAAGGTACATAGCAGATTGTCCTCCACGAATCTAGCTCAGTACCTGTATCATTCATGTCCCTTTTGCTTGGCTTACTTTGCGACAAAAACATCGTCACGTTCAAAAAGCATCCCTGAAAGGGAGCTTTAGGTTATAATTGAGACTGGGTTATGTGTGCCATGCAAAATGGCTTAACAAAAGGACTCTTGTAGGGTTAATGCGATCAAAGGAGACACAAATACTGTCCCGACCAGGAAGAAGTCGTCTGCCGGCCAGCCAATAGGTGACCCGGTAGTCAATGATAAATTCATGTTCTGCATGCAAACTTTTTTATAAAGGCAAACTACGGCCTCCCTACCAATAGTCATATGTTCGAATCCTAACCGAAGTGGATTTTTAACCTGGTTTCCAGGTCGATGACAACAATAAATTTAATATTCCGGTATGTAAGGTTAGTTTAAAAAAGAAAATACTCCGTCCCGATATGGGACGCAGTTTTTTTGTTATATTAAAGCCCCACCCTGGCTGTCGGCCCTAATATAACCTAACGGCTGAACGGGGTTTCTTGGACTTACACCTGGTGGATTCTCATTCCAATGGTAGCACTTCATGTCACCGGATGTTTTTCGCTTGTTGTGCGGTCCTGGTGGGGTCGAACGCCAATCATTCGATGTAAGGCGATTGAATTGATATTAAACCTATCCCCAATCGAATGGCCTTTTAATAAAACTAGTTATCCGTGGCCACGGCCGACTCTATTTATCTGAAGAAGGCAGTGTCCGTGGTAAACGCCTGCTTCGCGCTTGAACAAGGTGGGGTCGGTTTTGGATTCCTGTGTTCAGTTTATGAGTGCAAACGTTTCGGCGATTTCTTTACAGTCTTCGCTAAAACTATGAAGTTGGTGATTTATGCCAGGGACTTTCAACACTTTTTCAGGTTGCGCCTTCTTAAATATTTACTACCCCCCCCCCCCCCCCCCCCCCCCCCCCGTTTAAAAATGTAATTAAAAAATAATTTAAAAAACTTGTAATCTAGAGCCTAAATGTCAATGCAGTCAGTCATGCCCTTTGCAAAACCTTGCCCCCATTACAACCCTCCGGAAGACTGCTCAATCACAGGCAAGATGTCCCGCGTCCGATGCACCCATCTATAGATTATCCGCCACATCTTACTCCCTTCTTCTTTTCGGCCTTCCTCTTCCTAGGCATATACCCCTTCATTATTGTTCTCTCTAAACTTTCCTGACCTTTTAAGTGACCAAAATATCTCAATTTTCTGTGTTTTACTGTCTTTAGTATCAATGCGATGAGTGACGTTTCTGGTCTGATACTAGGCAAAGCACAACAGAGACCATTCTCTGGTAGCGCTATTAATTAAATGCTCATGTAAAGGTAAAGTCGGGAGATGTGAACCAGCGTCATTGCACACGGTTATAAACCATAAGTGCTCTGCCACCAGTACAGACAGCCGCCAGTACAGACAGCTGATAAGAAACTGTCCGCCTGTGTCGCCGTCCGCACACAACTCCGTAGCTACAGCGACGTTCCTCCGTTTACCCCAGAGCGTTAACTCTGGTACCCATTTCCTAGAGGCTGGTTGAACCCTGGTAACCGCCCGGTTTCGAACACCGACCGTGGGCTGCTGGATTTGAAAGTGAGTCTCCTATCGACTGCGCTAACGCAGCCTCTGTGTAATCATAATAATCAGTATTGTAACCATATATGTACAAACTATTCATGAAAACAAAAGTTCTTGACTTTTGTTTTGTAAATAATTTTTAAAATATTGTATTTATAATTAAACTGAAACAAAATGCTATGTATGACAGATTACTACAGCCTTATTTCAAAACAGTTTAATGCCTCCTTGAAATTTCTTTGCGCCCCCACAAATGTTGGTTGGGGGTGGGGGGGGGGGGGGGGTTCGGTGGAAACCACTTCTTTATTCGAAGATCTCGGTAGACGGGAGAGGTCACATAGGAAAAGGCTCCACGAAATAAAGTTTAACCCTTTCATGGGGGCAGGGAAGAGAGAGGGTTAAAACAGTAGAAATACAACTAAACACAATGATTTACTTACATCGGACTCACCTAAACGACTCAATCAAGACAAGACCAGTCGTATATGCAGTATGGAGCAAACTCTATCCGAGGCTGTATAATTTGTGTTTATTGAAGTGGCGGGTAATTTTTCCCGCCAATGGGTAAAATGACCTACATGACCCTAACAAGATGTATTCCACCACGCAAAAGGTCACGACGGATTAATCACGTTTGCGTGCTCAAAATGCTCAGTTGAAGAAATAACAGCGAATTACAGCATCAGAAATCATTAAACAGACAAGTCAGTGGCTGTAACTTTGTAACATTAAAGCAAAAGTTATTATAGCCGCGATCAAAAGGGGGGGGGGGAGCCACCAGGGTGTACACAAAATATGAACATACTGAAATGAGGCCCATAAGCTAAACGTGAGGTGAGAAAATGGGGACATGGGGCAGGGTTGAGGGAAAAAACACGCACAGGCAAAATCGAATGTCGAACCAGAGTATACAGTTGATACAAGCAGAACTGCAATAAAAGAAGTAAATAAAAGTAAAGGGTCCTTTTACATGATTTCAGACGTACTAGGCGTATAGGGCTGGGCCTATTTTGTAATAAACCAAACGGCACTTATTGGGGGATGTGTACGACATCACAACGACCGCCTTTACTTCCCATGCATTTTACCGGATACCCGTTTAAGGCTGGCTCGATCTGGAGGAGCCAAGGTCATTTGTGAGAGAAAAAAGTCCTTAGGATTTAAACCCACGACCTTCGGATCTGTAGGCGAGTCTAGACGCTACACTACAGCGGCCCTTAATGAAATAAGTAGAGACACTCCATCAGCTATAGACAGTAGATGGAAACAAGAGACACTCCATCATCTATAGACAGTAGACGGAAACAGTCACAGACAGACAGCAGGCTGAACAATCAAAGCACATGTCCTCTATCAGATGAAGAACAATCTGTGCAACAAATTCTGGTACATGGAGATGAGACTATTTTGTGATACAATATCCTTTCTGTCAGTTATGGGCACTGACTTGTTACATAGAAAACTACAGGCGAAAGATTTCCCTGTTAATGCTAAAAAGACAGTTCCCGCTCAGATATAATTATACAAAGGTTCTATGTTGAGAGTTTGAAGATGAGCTAGAGGTTCATAGCATACGCGAATGGACTACCATTGGTGTGATAAAACCAGGCATAAGATGCCACAACACCTAGTTAGAATGGAGGCTGTAGCAATCACTGCGGTCTTCCGATGACTTGAAACAAACCTCGCACATATGTCGTGTAGGCATTTTGCAATAGACTCACAGAGTGTGCTTGGAGAGATAGAGACAGGTATGCTCTGTGCATAGTTTTAAAAGTCACGATGTTTAACGTCTTTTGTATATTTTCCCAAGGTTATGCAAATGTGTTGAGAAACGAGCTAAAGGACAGATTGGATGGTTGTGCCATAAGTGGTAAATTGCTGCGTGACAATATATGTGTTCTCAAGGCCCCTTTGTAGCAAATGAACAGTATCGATGCACAAGAAAGATCATCACGCTTTAAAAAGAATGGCGAAGTGAGAAGTGGCCAGGGAAATTGTCCAACTCTCAACACTCAAAGAAATTGCAAGAGGGACATTTAATCAGACTGCTACTGTTACTATTGGAATTCGAATTCTGCGCTGGCTGCTGAAGATGAGGAAGGAGAGCTGATGGGGATGTTCTGACTGCTGTAATGTCAGTTCTTGACTCAGTTCAACTCAGGATTGATTATAAATTACAAAAGCAGTCGAAAGATTTACAAGTTGATGATTAATACGACAGCGATGGTAACACGCTTT